GGTTATACTGTGTGCATGCTGCGTATGAAAAGGCACCTTTACGCTCCATGTGAATCCAGCCTGAGAAAAGCTATAACCTCTCGCATGATAGACTGCGTTCCGAAACTTATCATAAAAAGTCGGACAATCTTTCCGACTACGACTATGCGTACATATTATCGAGGAGTCTATGGAGTGTTATTCGTCGACAATTGCGTCAATATAACGTTGTAATTTGCTCACGTTTTCTTCCGGCAGATTCCTTTTTTTAGGCTTTCAAGTCCTCTAAAGGAAATATCGTCCTACATTATCTGGATCGCTGTCTCCAAGAATTGCTGATTAATCATTCTATGATCGATATTTGGTTAACAGCACATAAATAAAAATGGTAAGCAGGGTTATTAAATTGTTTGGCAAGTCCATCGTTATATTATCTCCTATCTCTAAAAACCAACTGTATACAATTATACAATTGTCTTTTAATATTATCATTATACCAAATTTTCTTGCATTTGTATTACATTGTTTGTGACAATGATATTCAACATGTACTAATTTTGAATCAGTTGTGAAACAAATAGATTACAGCAAAGATTTGCTATTGAAAAATGAATAAAGCTACGGTTTACCTGATGCTTTAAAGCATTACTCTTCTTCCTTTTAACAAAAAAAAGGAGGATGAAGAATGTTTCAAAGCATTTGCAACATCTAATGAGCCATAGCCCAAGATACATGAATATGGTAATTTGTTTATAAACTTATAAGAAATATTCAAAATATGATTCTACAGTAATGTTAATAATCAAGAATTCACTTTTTACAGTCTGTTATTTGTACCAATATATGAACAGAATTCAGAAATATGAAGACGATACGCAGAAATGTACCTAGTTTGAAATCCCAGGTAGCAAGTTGATGTCACTTATCACTATTTCGACATCAAAATGTTGTCAGAAATGTCCTTTTGACGTTAGTTTGCTACTTAGGTGGTGATCTCTTGATTTTTATTTAAATTTAAATAAAAATTAATTCCTTAATTATTTGATATACATATAACTTAATTTAAAACGTAAAAAATAATATATTATGTATTGCTTGTATGATACACACACACATACAAACATATTTTTTTACAATGATAACTCAAAGTAAGATAAAAATTCCCTTCTGCTTACTTATATAATATATGTTAGCAAATCATATTTTGGATTTATTATTATAGTGTTAATTTAAATACATTTACAACAGAAAGAAGCTATTTATATGTGATATAATTGACTACAGTGAATTTTAATTTATGTCTATGTATTTTTTATATGAATGTGACAATGAAGGGAGAAGTTTAATGGATATTCATGATTCATTTATAATTCATGATTAATAGTGCGTACTAAGTTTATATTATTATTTATTTCTGCTTTATTTGATTTTAGTCTCATACAATACTACTAGTACAACCTGGTTCCAGGCCTGAAACAAGAACATATTCTGATTACGAAAGCATTAACGAATGTATGGAAGGTAATTGCATTATAATATTACACATAAGTTCAAGTTATAAACTTTAATAAGGGATATTAAGGCTTTGTAATTATACATGGTACATATAATTAATTTTTAAAATAAACATTAATTGCATATATTAAACAGCATAAAATCAATCTATTCTATATATTAAAAGTATTAAAAATAAAAATCTACAATTTAAAAAATTCTCGAAATAAAGTACAATGGCACTTGCATAACAGACATATACATTAAATGGAAAATTTCAACCTTTCTACACACACACGCACACACACACACACACACATGAAAAGTTTCCACTCGGTCCATCAAACGTTTTATTTTTTTGTAGATCTTGAACGAATATTTCTACATGAGTTGAAAAATGAATAAAATCGTAAATACATTAGTGTGCTAAGACAAAGTATTTCATGAAGAAGTTCTTTTAAGAATGTTTGTAAATTAGTATGAATAATTGTCAAAATTATTGTCAAAATAGGCCCTTAAATAAATCTTTTGTCACAAGTTACTTTATCACATACTTTGAGTTTATTCATTTTTCCAAAATTACGCCGACATATCTGTCCATCAATTTGTAAAAAAATGAAGTATTTAATAGAATGAGTTAAAACTTTACATACGTATTCATAAGTGTTAAAACTTTTCATTTGACTTGTAATGTCTGTTGTGCGTCATTTGGATTATTGTATTCGGAAAACTTTTTAAATGGTTACAAAACATTACAAAACAATGTAGTTGATAGAGTTTTGTATATTATATGATCTGTGATTGTGGTGAATTATAAAATATATTCTATGTACACATATATATTTTTAGTGTTTTTATACAAATTGTAAATCTATATTGTTTACTATTACAGGTGTTTGTAAAATTTATGAAGAACATCTGAAGAGACGAAATCCAAACACTCCAACTATCACTTATGACATTAGTCAATTATTTGATTTCGTTGATCAGCTAACGGATTTATCCTGTCTTGTGTATCAAAAGTCGACAAATACTTATGCTCCTTACAATAAGGATTGGATCAAAGAAAAGATATATGTTCTATTGCGTAGAGCTGCGGGACATGGAGAGTAATCAATATATAAAGTACATGTATACGTCTGTGTTTTCATACAATAAGATAATTTTAAACCTCTCTATATATTATTTACTGTAATAAATCTATAAATTACAATATCTTATTTTGATGTAATAATTATGTTGGGTTCTTTTTCCTTCTTTACATATTTTTCTTATATCATTAAAAAATTAATTACGCATTAGCAATATTACACAAATAGAGCAAGATAAAAATTACTTTCCATTGAGTGTTGTACAATTGGCAGAAATACAATTAGGATTCTGTGATATAGAATATTTATAAAAAATATATAAGTTCTATATTCCAATATCTATTAAAATATATTTTTCATAATACAATTGTACATGATGTTTTAAGGATGGTATGTAATACACCTAAAAATGTAAAAATATCAATTTTTTAATTTTTATATCTTCTTGAAACATGATATCTTAAAATATCTTCCTAAAGTTTCAAAAGTTTACAAGGATAAAAAGTTACAGTATTTTAAGTAAGAAAGATTCATGGCATGGTATAGTGCAATCTGCATGTACATTTGTGATAAGACTAAACAAGATCCCAATAATTATTAGAAATCTTTTGAAAATAAAGTGGTCGAATTGGTGAAACGCCTGCCTACAGTGTAGGAAAGTCCAGATTCAAACCCTGGCTGAGGTAATATTTTTCGTAATGAATTTCTTTAACTAGAATTTACCAATTAGCGTCGTTTAGCAATTTTTCTATTCATTTTCTATTTATTCTATTTATACATTGGTTAATCGTGTACTGGCATCAAATAATTTTTTATATTATTAAAGATAATCTCTCTCCTATAAGACACTGTACTTTTGGCCTTATCAATAGTCTACCGTTCATGTAGCTTAAACTTTAAGTACTTTTTCTCGAAACTGTTTTCAAAAACAGTGACCAAAATATTTCAGAAACAATTGTACGGATTTACATGATTCTTTTTTAATACTTATTTTGCATACAATTAAGCAGTCTTTATCATACAGGTGTTTTGAGAGCTTTTTAGTTTCTGTAATTAAAATATCAACTTTTTAACAAAAATCGAAAATTATTGAATTTAGAAGCCAGTCATTTTATTAAACTTGAACATCTTCAAAATTGACTGCGACACAGACTAGATCTATTTATATATTTTAAGAAGTTCTTGAATTTTTTAATGTTGGATGAACTTTATAAAAGTGATAATTATTACTGCAAAACTATTACGGACAAGGTAGTAGTTGCCAGTGCCATTTATTTATATTTGTATTACAAAATTTCAGGATTGTGTAGTATCTAGTTAAAAAGTTAAAGCTAAATAATTTTAACTTAACTTATTGTTAGTTACATTATAGACTGTTAACTTTTAACTTAATTTAATTACATTTAATTTACCTTTTCTATAGTTAGCCAACAAAGGCGCAGCGAGATGCAACACGCTTGCTTACATTAGCAATTCCTGTATTCCAAGATTCACTACCAGTGCTAAAAATCTTTAGTATACGTGCATTATACTTATTGTTAGATCTTCAGCACTGACAGTGAATTTCGGAACATAGCCATTATATGGAACTTTGATTCTCAACCTTACGTGAATTTATTTGTATATAAAATGGGCCATATTCCATATGTAGCGTTTTTTTGTTGTCCAAACATTGGTCGTAAACAAATTTCATAAGATTAACCGACCTACACTGGCCAATGTTTTTATTAAAAAACCGATTACAACGTTTCGGCCCTGGATTTGGGCCCTTTTCAAGTGATCTGAAATCGCAAATTGCAAATTATAAAACAATGCTGAAGGCCTATCGCAAATCAACCATAAATTCATACCTGAGTAATAATTACTGTGTCATTAGTCAATCGTTTGGCCAAAACCATTCCACTGTGACAAACTGAGTAGAGACAAGAGGAAAGTCATTATAATGTAACACACTCGACTAACATGTTCAATAGAAACTTACATGTTGGTCAAGTAGATTTACACTTATTTGTTAGAAGAAAGGTAAAATTGATTGAGAAGCAACACGATGTTCGCGAAATCATGTCAGAGATTAAAATTGATTTAACAACTGTCAGGAACCGGACTTGTATTGACGAGAGGTCACGTTGGACTAACACATAACCCACACAGCAAAACAAGTTTCAGAAAGCTTTCCGAAAGATAACTTGGAAACTAATATTGAAATGTAAAATTGAAATCATTCAGAAATATCTTTGAAACGTTTCATCAAAATCACATGTCATTGAAAGCTTTCCAAAAGATACCTTGGAAATTAATATTGAAATGTAACATTGAAATCATTCAGAAGTATTTCTGAAACGTTTTATCGAAATCATTTATGATCCTTCTCACTGAAATATTTCAGAAATATTACAAAACATTTCAGAGAAATATTTCGTACGTAATCTCTAAAACATATGTTATTGAAAGCTATCCAACATATAACTTGGAAATTAATAGTGAAATGTAAGATCTATCATTCAGAAATATTTCTGAAATGTTTCATCGAAATCATTTACGATCCTTCTCATTGAAATATTTCAGAAATATTACGAAATATTTCTCTGAAATATTTCTATTTTTCTATTTCTATAAATCTTTCCATTTCTCAGAAATATTACGAAACATTTCAGAGAAATATTTCGTACGTAATCTCTAAAACATATATTATTGAAAGCTATCTAACATATCCCTGATGGAAAAATTTTGCTGAAAACGTAATGAAATTTGCTGGTTGAAAATCTCTTGCAATTGACCCAATTTCATTATCTTTCAGCAATTTTTCGTTAAAAAATTTATTTTCAGTGAAATTCTGCAAATTTCATAATATACAACATTTCAAATTTTTTAAACTAATTTTTAGTAATATTAATTAACTTTTATCTAATTTCACAGTATTTAATTGAATTTCATAACGAAACTTATGATTTTTTTGAAATTAATATTAATATTAGTATTAATATGAATTAATATTACTAAAAATTAGTGAAAAAAATTTGAAATGTATATTATGAAATATGCAAAATTTTACTGAAAATAAATGTTTTAATGAAAAATTGCTGAAATGAGAATGAAATTGGATCAATTGCAAGAGATTTTTAACCAAATTTCAGCAAATTTCATTACGTTTTCAGCAAAATTTTTCCATTAGGGATAACTTGGAAATTAATATTAAAATGTAATATAGAAATCATTCAGAAATATTTCTGAAATGTTTCATCGAAATCATTTATGATCCTTCTCACTGAAATATTTCAGAAATATTACGAAACATTTCAGAGAAATATTTCGTACGTAATCTCTAAAACATATATTATTGAAAGCTCTCCAACATACAGGGTGTACCTAAACTGGCGATAAATGTTTTAATGACAAGTACTTTGTAACATTTTGAGACGAAAATTCTAATACGAAAAAGTCGAGGCTATAATAGTTTTCAAATGGGAACAGTTTAAACATCTCGAATAGCAAAGCTAGAATTTCGCGCGCTCAGGGATGGCAAAATGGTCAGTGATAAAGGTGCTTTCTTGAACCACACGTCTTTGGCATTAATGAAATTAGTGTAAAAATGTATGCAAGAGTTTTATTAAGAAACTATTTCTGTTTATTTGCAATGAATTTTAGAAATAGTTTAAAATGTTTTTTTTTAATAGTTCAAATCGATATTGATTTGTGTCTACTGTCATCAGCTATTTGGTTAAATTGCGACAAATTTCATCGCGGAGATTTACCAATTTAACCAAATAGATATGCTGATGACAGTTGA